ATATATATATATATATGTGTGTGTGTGTGTGTGTGTGTGTGTGTGTGTGTGTATAACATTCTTATATATTCCTTAATCAAAGAATTTCTGATTAAATCAAGAATTTCTTTCTTTTGTCAAGCAACTGACATTAGCAAAGTTAAAGTTAGGAAAAAAAGAGAACTGTTCAATATAGAATTAAAATATATTTTTAGAGAATATTTTATATTTGAATGATTAGAATGGTAGCATATGAAAAGCAACATTAGGAAAACATCTTCATAATGTTCTTACCTCCCAAAGCAAGAATCCACCCAAACAAAGAGTTAATTGTATTCATTGCAAAACTCTAGGTAGAAAAAAGGAAAGAGGAGAGTTAAATATCACAGTACAGAATAAAAACATTTGAACATATATAAATATATACTATTTGATTATCAAATGTGCTGTTATATTAAAAAAAAACTAAGGCTTGTTTTCCCAGAGCGTGTGAAGGTCTAAATAACCTTCCTATGAAAAGAATTGCAGATGAATTAATAATTAGCTTTGAAATAACTATCTAGAGTGGTCAATAAATCTAGCCTGAAATCTAAAATGAAATGATTTGGAAAAAATAGGAAAGCACACTGTTAAACAAACCTGCATTTTAAAATGTTTAGTCTTGTGGCAAGGTGGACCATCCATGAAACTGTGCTCTTCAGACAACAACAACAGTGCTGTAGCTCCATCTAACTGCCTCACACAGCATTTCACCTAACAGCATGAAGTACTGCACTGCAGTGGACTGCAGCAGCCCCTCCCATCGATGCTGCACTAATGCAACGCCTCAGACCACAACATATGAGAACATTATCATATGACCATAATATTATGTCTATTCACCTTCCCCAAGTAAAATACCCTGATGAGAATCATGAAGTCCTTTTGCTGCTTCGATGAGCCCAATGTCATTCTTTTATTTAAAATAAACAGTGCAATACAGCACAATTTGGCATGCAATTTTCTGACAGGATGTACATTATCTTGTATATCATAAAAGCTGATCTGCTCTGTGTAATCCTCAATCACAAGCCAAATCTTTTGTTGCCTGAGCAGGCATGACGTTATAGTTTCCATACATTTACCTTTCAGAGGCTTTATGGTCGTGCTGTTTTAATCCCAGTCTGTGATGTTTTTCATTTGGCAGGACACCTCCAGTGGTTCATAAAGCTTCAGCTCTATGGAGAGTGGAATGATAAGAAGGAGAGAGGATTCGAGAGAAGAGAGAAGGAAAACCGTTTGTCTCCCCCTTTTGAGAGAACTAGAAAATGCTATTTACCAAATGTTATGCAGAGTTTCCCACGATTTATTTTGCTTGAACTACCAGGGAATTCCAAGTATAACAAGTATGTATTTACAAGATGTTTCAGTATTTATGTTTGCTATTACACTACGTACTGTTCAAAGGTTTGGGGTCCAGTTTTTAAATGTTTTTAAAAGAAGTCTCTTGTGCTCACTAAGGTTGCATTTCTTTGATAATAAATCAAAAATATTGTGAAATATTGTTACAATTTAAATCACTGTTTTCAATTTTAATATATTTTAAAATGCAATTTGTTACTGTGATAGCATTTTCAGCATCATTTCTCCAGTCTTCAGTGTGACATGATCCTTCAGAAATCATTTCAATATGCTCAAGAAAAATGTTTTATTATCAATGTTGAAAATGTTGTGCTGCTTAACATTTTTGTGGAAACCATGATAAATTCTTTTTAGGATTCTTTGATTAGTAGAAAGTTCAAAAGAACAACAAACTTTTGTAACATTATAAATGTCTTTATTGTCACTTTTGACCAATTTAATAGTGTAGTTTACCAATTTGTTGTAATGAATCAGTCACTGATCAACGCTTATACAGCATTTATTATATTAGTTATTGTAAATGTTGGTCAATTTATGGTCAATTTTTTTATTGATACATTTCAACATATAAAATTCCATATGTTAACATTAGTTAATATGTTTGGAACCAACAATAGTATTTTTAAATTAACATTAAAAAACAAAATAATTTCATTAAGATAAACACATGTTTGTTCATGGTTAGTTCATGCTACCCAACCATAAATAAATGCGTACCATAAATTGCTGTTGATTTAGAAGGCCAATAATGGAAAACCTTAAGGTATGGATTACTTTTTTATAAACATGTATCACTTTCTGAAAAGAAGTAAACATCAGCAGAAAAGAATAAAGAATATTGTTCTTTTCAATATTTGCAGTGGGCCATCATTTCCTAAATATGATTCAGGTTTACAGACAGAACAGGCTGATGTTTCTGTGAGATCTGCTTTAATTGTTGGCCTCTGATATTTAAGAAATATAAATATCGATCATATTAATCAAAATAAATATCTTTGCTTGTGCTTTTTGACTTCACTATTTAACATTACTACATTACTTATTGAAGTAAATACATCAGATCTGTTGTGCCCTGACAGCTGCCAATCATTTGGTTCTCTTGCATTTTATTTTCAGTAAACACTGTGGGTGTGCCCTAGTGAACTATTTGCTTGTTGCTCTTTGCATTTCAATTAGAGCACAAATTAGCATGTAAAAGGCCTTTATTGTCATTTTCTAAGATGGATGCAGGCATATTCAATACCGCTAAGATTTCAGTCAATCTGCAACTCAGACAAATGCTGTTTCTAGACAGGTGAATATCACACACACCAGTGTTTATTGTTGCTTTATTTTCCATGGGAATTAATGATTATTTATTTAAGAGATTAAAGAGAGTGACATCTCCAGTGTTTCCTTAAGTGACAATGTATGCTTTTTGAAAAGCACTGCCAGCTCATTGCTGAAGTTGAGAATTAATTCCACTGCTTTATTTTGAATTGTTAATTTGTCTCGGCTGATAACAACGCTGCTGGAGTGTGAAGAGGATGTTTTACATTTGAAAGGATTTCAAAATAAGCCATGACAACCTGCCCTTCACATCAAATGAAGAGATTAATTCATCTGAACCATACAAATGTTGCTCATTAATTTATTGCTTTGGAGTCCCAACAAATTGAGATGAAAAATGCCTATTTAATTGTATTTAATTAACACAATAACTAAAATGACAACAATGAATTTCACAATCATACTACCCAAAGTATCATAGGAATACATTCTAATTTGATTTAAGCTGTAAGCGATGTTTTCATCAGTATGTTATAATGGCAAGGCAAATTTGTTGCAATTTACAATCTAAATTCCATCCCTAACTTAAAAATTCTGCTCAATTTTAGTAATTTTTATTGAGTTTTTATTCATTCATTCATTATCTGAACCATTTGATCGTATGTAGAGTCATGGCAATTTTTCATCCTTAATTTAAAAAAAGTGCAATTTAGTTTAAGCAATTACGTTTTTTTTTTTTATTGGGATGAAATGTTTACAGTGCATTACAGTATGTACTGAAATTATTAACAAAAACTGCCCTGCCTTCCACAGGGTTTGCACAAATGTTTTGACAAAATGTAATGTAATCCTATACAGTAGGCCTACTAAAGTGATGTTAGCCTATACGATTGCAGTGTCTTAATTATACTACATTTTACATTATATTAGAACATAAAGATAGTCCTCTCTTTATTATTGTTTGAACATTGGACACTGCAATGCAGTTCTGAAATTGCATGTTCGTTTTTTGAGCACCAGAGGGAGATGTAGGACTAGCTACACCTTTGACACGCGCTTGCACAATAAATTCCCTTTAAATGTATACCCCAAAATGCTTTACAAACCAGAATTTGGGCGTTATCACACATTAAAACTGTTCAGTGAGAGACCACACTGTTGAATCACGCGATGAGTTATTCACAAATGCTACGTTTTACTTGTACTGCTCCGCCTGAAACTGTGATACATTAATCGTATTGCCCTTAATCACCGGGCGAATCAGACGAGAGCTGCAAGTTGGGCGCAACTTTGAATCCTGTGCTGGTTAGCGTAATTGATTGGACGTTTCTTAAACATCCTACAGTTTAACAGGTTTATGTTAGGTAAAGTAAATACGACGAGTTTCCTCGGAACAGTTGATGCTTTTAGAGACTTTTGTCAGAAGCGCATTGATGAGGATAACCTCTTCAGGACGATAGGACAACAACTGAGCGAAGAAAACCCGTTCACTCTTTAGTCTAGGCTGCAACTGGACAGAGACCTGAAGTTTATGTTGATACGGTCTTCCATTCTTCTTTAATCTCAGTGCTTTAAGCTGATTTATGTTCGATCAGAGTGCGCCTCGATGCGCGTAATTGTTTTACTCAATCGGAGTATTGAAGGGTTCGGTCCAGCGCCTGGTGCTCATACGGACTGGTTCAAATTAAGAATTGGACATCCAAATACCTTCAGTTTTCCTGTCACATCTCAATAAATGGGGAACCTGGATAATTGTTTTCTAAGGGATTGTGCTTTCTGTTAAACTCATACCGCACCACTCGTTTTGAAATCGGTACATCTTAAACAAGACCATGATGTTTATGAAATTGCTTCTTCCACTGATGTCCATCGTTTTGATACGAGGTAAGACAGACTCTTTCTTCTTAGTGTTCTTTAACGCCTCTCTGTCTCAATTTACGTTGTCAGTCACTTCTATGTTGTTTTTCAAGACATTACGTACTATTTAAAACAATTATTGAAACAATAACAGCTAAATAATTCATTAAAACTGCATTTAAATTATGAATAGCAGTAGTAATAATAATAATACTCAATTAATTATGAATAATAATAATAATGGTAATAAAAACAGCAACAATAATAATTTAGAAAATGCTGTTTCTTTATCATTTGACTTAGACATTAATAATTGTGTGCTATTTTTTAGAGGTTCACCATGCAATTTATCATAGAACTGATATTAAAGAATCAATTATGTAGAAAACTGTTACTTGGTTAAAAACAAAATATTGGTCAAACTTGTAGTTGGTCACTCTTCAATATTGAACAGTGTTGTTTTTCTGACCAATAGCCTTCCAATTATTTTAATCTGTCTTATTACTGATATGCAGAATTTTTCATTGTTTTATTTCTGCTTATTGACACAGTGCTTTCATTTTAATTTAAATTCGCCATGCTTCCTGTAGAACATACATTAATTGACGAAAAGTGTTCATACAGTGCCGTGAAAAGGTTTTTGCCCCCTTGCTATTTTTATTTTTTATTTTTTGCATATTTGTCACACTTAAAAGATTCAGATCATCAAACAAATTTTAATATTACACAAAGATAATGCAAGTAAATACAAAATGCAGTTTTTAAATTATGATTTAATTTATTAAGGGAAAAAAGTGGTCCAAACCTACCTGGCCCTAAGTGAAAAATTAATTGCCCCCTCCTGCTAAATCATGAAAGATCTGTGATTAACCACATTATTTTAGAAAGCTGAGTTAAATTTCACTAGCCAAACCCAGGCCTGATTACTGCCAGACTTGTTGAATCAAGAAATCACTTAAAGGGGTCATATGATGCTTTTTTAAAGATCATTATTTTGTGTATTTGGTGTAACAGAATATGTTGACATGCTTTAATGTTCAAAAAACACATTATTTTTCAAATACTGTACATTATTGTAGGTCCTCTATGCCCCGCCTCTCTCAAACGCTTCGTTTTCTACAAAGTCCCTCCTTCCGACAACACAGCATTTCATAAAAAGAACATCATACCAACAGTCAAACATGGTGGTGGTAGTGTGATGTCTGGGGCTGCTTTGCAGCTTCAGGACCTGGACGACTTGCCATAATTGATGGAACTGAAAATCCTGAAGGTGAATGTCCGGCCATTAGTTTGTGACCTCAAGCTCAAGCGCACCTGGGTTATGCAGCAGGACTATGATCCCTAAACACACCAGCAAGTCCACCTCTGAATGGCTCAAGAAAAACAAAATTAAGATTTTGGAGTGGCCAAGTCAAAGTCCGGACTTAAATCCAATTGAGATGCTGTGGCATGACCTTAAACAGTCCATTCATGCTCGAAAACCCTCCAATGTGGCTGAATTAAAACAATTTTGCAAAGAAGAGTGGGCCAAAATTCCTCCACAGCCACACAACACTTGATTGCAGTTGTTGCTGCAAAGTGTGGCACAACCAGTTATTAGATTTAGGGGGCAATTACTTTTTCACGTAGTGCCAGGCAGGTTTGGACAGCTTTTTTCCCTTAATAAATGAAATCATTATTTCAAAACTGCATTTTGTATTTACTCGGGTTATCTTTGTGTGATATTAAAATGTGTTTGATGCTCTGAATCTTTTAAGTGTGACAAATATGCAAAAAAATAAAAAAACAGGAAGGGGGCAAAAACCTTTTCACGGCACTGTATATCAGTAATAATATAGTCTGTCTCATAGAGAACAACATAACAAAGAGTCAGATATGTTAAAAGGTGGCTCTTAAAAGTTCAGAAGTATTTCACACTGTATATCTCTTTATATATTTACAGCTTTCAGCTTTTATAATTGAAAAATGTTATCATAATTCATGTAATGCAAGGGTCTGGCACTAAACATGCTGTGTGGTATTGAACTGGATTTACCAATGTAAATGTAACATCAGAATCACTGCTTGTGATGTAAGAGCGTAAGTCTGCAGAGTCTGCCTTTTTACAAACACATGGGCCGTCTGAGATTTCCTAGACACTATGCTACACTTAAGAAAAACATCTGGTGTATTGTGATTGTTTTTTTTTTTCCGTGAAAGTGAAGGCAATCCGCTTGTGTTGGGGAGTAAATCAACAGCTCAAGCAGTCACATGTGCAGCGTGCTGGATTTATCTGTATAGTGGGATTTGCAGCAGTATTTTCTTTGTGCTGTTTGTACTCAGCTATTAATGTATATATCAGCACTGGAGAATGAAATGTTAACCATCTCTCTCTTATTTCTCTAAGTACATTTTACATTTGGAAAACACGGACTACTTAACAAAATGTTGATGTTGATGTTGTAAAAGTGTGAGAAATAGGCTACTGGCATCTTTGAGAGCTTCATCATGATAATTTATCATGCATCCCCATTTTAGTGGAGTTAATAAAGGTTATTGAGTCCCAAAATGTTTAAATGTAGTTATAGTAGGAATTAAATTATTTAAACACCTTTGTTTAATCCCCTACAGTTAATGCCACAACAGTAGATTAAAAAATATGAATTGATAATTTGCTTTATAGGTGAAACATGCCACAAAAACATGCCCAGGTCACAATTCTGCAAAATAAATAAATTATATTATATATTAGTTATATATAGGTAGATATAAAAGCCATTTTAGGGCTAGTTTTTGCATTACAGAAGTGAGAATTGAGAGGTAAAATATGCATATTTGTCCTAAAATACATAAGAAACAATGCAAGAGAAATAAAACATCACATTTTCTATGCAAAACATTTTTTTATTTTATTTTATTTTATATTGGAGTATCTATATTTTTGTTTTATTTTATATTGGAGTATTTATATTGTTTTATATTTTACTTTTGATATTGGAGTAAAATTTGACCTAGGCATGTTTTTGGCAGGTTTTATGAGATTCACCCTTAGTAATTGTGCCTTGGCTTTGTTTGAACAAGCCTTTGAGAAATGTGCTTTGTTGCAAAGATGGTGCCATAGTACAAACATATTTGTACATTTGCATGACACTTTTGGCTGGACATTTGTCAGATTTTTTTGTATGAATCCAACAAAGTATGCAGAATTTAGTTTGGATTGCTGTATCTATACTGTTTTGGATAATGCAGTCTCTCATTTAATCTACTTTATCCTTGAGGAGATCCCAAAATAGAACATCACTAGGGGTGAAACTTGAGTATGAATTCTGAACTGTTGTCAGTAACAACCACAGAAACTGGTTTCATGTCATCTTGACTTCATGTCATCTTAATATAGAAAGAAACACAGCTAAGTAAACAGCAGGATGTTTAGCAGCTGGTGAACTTCATTAACAACAATCTCAGTTGATTTCTAAAATGATTAACAGCATCAGAAATTTGATGTGTGTGAAAAATGTGAAGAGTGTGCAGGTTTTTTCTTACAGCACCTGAGAAATCATTTTTTCTACATGTCAGTTAACATAATGTGTATCAGAACTTACTTTAGTATGAAAATAATTGCTAAGAACATAACTAAATGTAATATAGATGTGAAATGTCATGTAGAAAGTTCTTGACTTTTTGAATAATGAAAAGAGAACTTGCATTTTTTAAATCCCTGTGAAATATGAATGCATTCTTCCATTTGCAGCTCTAATTAGAAGGAATTATTGAAGAACATTGTTCATGTGTGTGTGGCCTGTCTGGTGTTAAGCATTGTCTGGTCCTGCTGTGGCTGATCCTGACCCACTTTCCCCCCTTACTATCAGCACTCCCGCTTTAACTGCCACTGAGCACACGCTCCCACCATCTGTTATCCCCTGGCCCATTGCCATGGCAATACTGGGAGTCTTTTCTAAACAGGCGATGCAGTAGTCCGTGGGTAATGTAGTAAAGGGCTGAACTCCAGCAACAGGTCATTGTACTAAAGCCACGGCGTTGGCATAAGCCAGCTCAGTACATGCGACGCAGCCCTCTGAGCTTGAGTAATGATGCGCTGTGATTAAGTTGAGGGACTAATCGCTAACATGATTCAACTGTACCAACCCACCAGACGCAAAAAAGTACCATGGGGTAAAAATTCATCAGAAATGGATATCAAATAAATCTGGATTAAGAGTGTTCTGTAGTGGTTGGGATTTTGATTCATCTCAGTGAGTTTTGAAGCCATTCACCGAAAAGATTTGTTCAGAGTTGTTCACTGATTCATTCAGTAACCCTTTCTGTGGGTCACCAATCTGTGATGACAAGTTAGAATGAGTCTTTGAATCGTTTATTCAGTTGATTCATCTTTCACGACTCATAGTATTCTCTATTTTAATTTGTGTGTTTATAAATCTACTATGAAATTCCAGATGCACAAGCATCCCAAGCAAGTTACAGCACTGTTAGAGTTAGAGAGATTTTACTCTTTTAGAAGAGTTTATTTATAACATGCTTTATTATTATTATATTAATATTTTAATTTAGTTGTATTTTAAAATTTTCAGTTGAATATTTAGTAATTTTATGTGCTTTTGTCATTTGTTTTTTAGTTTCAGTTTTTTATAATTTCTATTTAGCTTTATTTTTATTTAAGATTTAGTTAAAGTCCCTATGAAATCAAAATTAAAGTTTTTTGGGTGTTAGTATCAATATGATAGTCTTAAGGTTATCTATAAGGCAGTGTGCTCCAAAACAGTGACAAAATTCGCATTTAGAAGATATAAGCATTCAAAGCTTGCAGTTCGTCACTTCCGCCAAAATGGCTCAACGATTTTTTTGACGTCACATCGTACTTCAGCTTCTTATCAAACTTTCTGTCCAATCAAATGCTCTCTAGAATCCGAAGCGCCCGCCCCCTACACTATAAAATAGATGCTGAAGCCACGGCTGAAATCGGTCACTTGTCCACAGAATTAGTATTTTCTGTACAGTGAATGGCACGTAGTGTACTGTATAGGGGACGG